GTTTCTATTGTATATCGTTTATATCGCCCACCCCTATGAGTTAGCCAGCTTTATATAACTAGATCCTGCAGGTCATCTCTGAAAGCTAACGTCACACTTTAAGTACTGACAGCCTGAGTGTGGTTGCTTAAAAACCTGTTAGAATGATATTTATGCAGGATTATTGGCATTTATTTAGCTAGACGTTTGTGTCACACCTGTAGATCGTAACAGTCATTACAGTGACTCTTTAAATGATTGCTTTAGTTTGAAACTGTTGCTGTTGGGCTGGTTTTACAGCTGTAAACCACACTTATATGTATTATTAAACTGGAATAAAAATGTGTTTCTATAAGCAGCTTAGCAAATCCTTTAAGAGTACTTTTATTGCATTAGCTCTACCTAGTGTTAGCGGAGGTGACTCAGCAGTTATTTGGAAGGAGTGGACGTCCCTGGCCTTTCATAGAGTTTATTTGTCTGCTATTGATGAGTTTAATACTTTGTGTGTTTAAGCTGTTACTTCACATGTCGCTCTCTTTGTGAACAGACATGTCAACCAGGGTTGCTGTGGTAACAGGTAGTAACAAGGGCATCGGCCTGGCCATCGTCAGAGCTCTCTGCAAGCAGTTTGAAGGAGACGTTTACCTCACTGCTAGAAATGTGTAAGCACCACAGCTGGTAACACAGACTCATGTTTGCACCTGATTTTACTGCAAAATCATTTCTCTGTTTTACTTTATTGCTGTAAGGATATTTTTGGTTTATTTCCATGTATTTGATGTTTGCCCCTAACCTTTTCAAACACTTAAAAATCCTAAAAAAGGCAATGAAAAAATTATTAATTAAAATCTGCAGAAAACAACTAATTAAAAACAAATATTTATCTCTAAATTACAAAACAATTGTAGGTATTAAGATGAACAGTGACTCCTTCTGTTTAAGTTTTGAATTCAGTGCAGATTGGCGACACCTGCTGGTCACATGTTGGTATTTGTTTTTGATGTATATGAGTTTAGATTTTTTACGCTAGTTTGTAAAGTAATTGCATCTAGGAACAGATTTGATTACATATTGCAGTTATTTTAAGACAGCAACAAGAGCAAAGAGCACACACAGATGCTGTTGTCCACACTAGACAGACCGTAACGCTTTGTGTGTGTTGCAGCGGGCGTGGTGAGGACGCAGTGAAGGCTCTGTCCTCTGAGGGGCTGAAGGCCATGTTTCACCAGCTGGACATCAATGACCTGAACAGCATTAAAACTGCTGCTGCTTACTTTAAAGGGAAGTACGGCGGAGTGGACATTCTCATCAATAATGCTGGGATAGCATTCAAAGGTAGAATTAGATATAAACATTGATTTTAACTGTATTGTGCACTACAGCCTCATACACAGGAAGTTCAATTACAACGTCTAGTACTACTGACACCACCACTATTTCTTTTTATCCCATGTGAAACATAAAGCTGCAACTTGCTGCGACCGATCTAGAATAAGAAAGTAGGTTGTGTGATGATTTTTTTTCTTCTTTCCAGTTTCTATAACAGAAGGTTGTTTATGTGAGGAGGTTGTTGGCCTCTTGCACAACCATTTGTCTAGCTCCTTGTCTTTGACTAACCTGGTATCCTATGTAGAGCTGAGGCCCTGGGGTCTTCAAGCATGCAACCCTGCATGCTTGAAGACCCTGCTGCTGGAGCATCAATCTTTATCTAGAATTTAAAACATTTTACACTTCAGCAGTCAAGATTAACAAAACTTGTCCTTGTGTCCGTTTTGGAAAGGATCCTAATCAAAGTGGGCACAGGAGGCAGGACGGTCGCTCGGCGGCTGTAAAGTGAAATGGACACACACAGATTTTGTACTAGAGACCTGAAAAGTTAAAACTATTTATTATTCAATTGGTTCTT